AGCAAACTATCTATTCTGTTCAAAAGGGCTTGTCGTCAGCGAATCCCCGAACAAATACTTGCCTTCTGGGCACAATTTGAATGTCATATATTCAAAGAGTTCCTTCTTCTCTCCAAAAAAAGGAAAACTCTCACCGTCTCCTCCTTACTGAAAAAAATGTTTAAACATCTATAATCTGGTTCACAGAGGCGCTCCCTCATATCAGGAATTTATTATTTATCCTGGCAGGTGATAGCTATTCTAATATTCTTTTTAAAATATCATCCCTGGAAGCTGTTAATCTCAATTTAAACTTTGTTACTCAGGTTTTCTTTTTGTTTCTTTTCAATTTGAATATTTCTCCTTCACATCAATATTTGTACTTCCAGTAATCTTAAACTCTCTGTGTTGTCTGTCTACAGGTGGAATGTCATCTGTATCTCAACCAGAGAAAACTACTGGATTTCTGCAAGTCAAAAGACATTGTTCTGGTTGCCTATGGTGTTCTGGGAAGTCAAAAATATGGAGAATGGTAATGTGCACACTAGCAAACTTACCTAAAACACCTTTGCTGTTGAAACGTTTGCATTCACAGCATAACCACTTTTCTGGCATTAACTCTGAAGTGTTGCAGTACAAGGAAGAATTTGCATTTCTTTTTTAAAAAAATAATTTATTCAGTATTAACGTGAGCAGATTTCATGTATTCTGCATATACAGATTTAGGAGCATAGTGATACATCTCATGCTACCCTCCCTCCCGACCACACTGCCACCCTTTCTTCTCCTTCCTTTTTTATTCTTTCTTATAATTTTTATGATGATCTACTTTTGGTTTATTTTATACTCATAAGACTAAATATACTAAATAATAAATAATTCAATAGATAGTCAGCAGAAAATAACACTGCTCCTCAACAGTAGGGACAAGGGCTGTAAACAATCAATCGATCTCAAAATTCCAATTTTGTGCATCCATATTACATGTTTTTCGTACTCAATTAGTTACCACAGAACAGGGAAAATGCATTCTATTTGTCTTTCTGGGACTGGCTTATTTCATTAAGTATAATGGTTTTCAGTTGCATCCATTTGGTTGCAAAAGAAGGATTTCATTGTTTTGGATGGATGAGTAGTTTTTCATTCATTAAATCACAGATGACAGTGGTTCTGCTGCCTGAGACCACATTTGAGTAGCACTGGTCTGGAGTAGGCACTGTAGTCTGTTTTGGAATCCTCCTAACAAACCAAATACACGAACTCAGAAATTCAGCATTGTTGCCTTTCCTCCTAGGGTGGATCAGAACACTCCGGTTCTCTTAGATGATCCAGTTCTTGGTGCCCTGGCGAAAAAGCACAAGCGAAGTCCAGCACTGATTGCTCTTCGTTACTTGCTACAGCGTGGGGTTGTGGTCTTGGCCAAGAGTTTCAATGAGGAGCGAATGAAAGAGAATTTGCAGGTGATGAGTGGGGCTGTGGGCACTGGGGCTCCTACAGTATCCATCACGTGTGTCCTCTTTGTAGGCACTCGGGATACCTTTGTGGTATCTTGGTGTCCCTGTCTTCTCCTGTGTGTTTCTTCTTATTGCTCACTTGTAAGTATTTTCTTTTGCTGTAGAGGAGGGAAGCCAACATGCTTAGATTGAATTGCAAGAGTGCAGAATTCTGAGGTTTGTGTTTCAGCGTGAATTCTGCAATTTTTTGTGTAGTCCTGTCAACTGGCCACTTTTTTTTTTCTTCAATTCCTTAAATAAGGTAGTCGAATTGGTTATTATTCTGCCTACAATATTTTCAATTTTATATTGTATTTCCCTTAGTTCTCATGTAGTTTAAAATTTATATATTTTTTCACTCTGTTTTATCTCTTTAGTCTGGCATCTAACCAAGTCTTACTTAAGTGAATTGTTTTTTATTTTAAAATAGGAGACAACTATAATACAAGTAGCTATAGTATTTGTAAAACACAATCTTCCCAAGGTAGAGATTTAATTTAAAAAGTTTTATTATGATTCCCAGCTTTGTATTTTGACAATTAACTTTGACCATTTGCACTCAGTCCTCTGCTTCTCTTCTTGTCTGCAACCTTTATGTATTTCTCACTGAGTCTCTGCTGCCTTTGCTGGACAATGCGTGAGCTCTGACTCAGAGTTTTTATTGAGACACTCTCTGTTCTGCTTCACTTCTCCCCATACAGTTTTTCCCCTTTCAGTAAATTATATCAGGCTTTATATCATCCCATTGCAGAGTGCTGAGGCATTTTGTGCATATTTGCAAAGCCTCCTGGGAACAGATACACGATTACTTCTGTTAAATACTATCCTAAACGTGAGTTGTAAGATAGGCCAGCTGCATTTAACAAGAGCAAGGATGCTGGGATGTGTGAAATTTTGAGTGACATTACTATAAACAACCCTTCATATTGATTTATTCTGCATATCATTTTCAGACTCAGATGTAATTGTTGAGGCATTTTATTCCAAGATGTGCCTTAGTTTTGATTCTCTATATAGTCTCATTTTATGAACAAAAGTTAATTCTCAGGGTCATCAAATTATTCTTGCCTTTTTTGTGGTTAATAAGTGTCATGTTTTGACCTATAAGGGAAAAGTATAGTATTATACTACATTAGCTTACAAAATTGTTGTTGTCTTTCCTTCCAAATTTAGACTTTCACCCCACTGGAATTTATTTATATATTACTTGGAATAATGATACAAATACACCTATATGTTTACTAAATGAATAGCAGATATACTTAACAACAATAACATTTCTGGACTCTGCTTCTCTTCACTGTGTTGACTTACTTTTCTGTACTATCTTAATTATATTGAAAAATACATTATATTGTGAAGAGTGGTAATTTTCTCCTACATCCTTTTATTGATTTTTAAAAAGATTTACTTATTTTATTTGAAGGCAGACTGAGAGAGTGCTGCCTTCCCTTGCACATTAGCAGGAGGTTGGTTCAGATGTGGAGCAGCTCATACTGTAACCGAACCATCCAGTATAGGATGTGGTATCACAAGTGGCAACTTAACCTTCTGTGCCACAAAACAAGCCTCTGTATTATCTTTTGGAGGAATATCTGGGCTATTCTTCACTGGCTATTCAGTGTTATAAAATTTACAATGACTTTATCAACTTCCACCTAAAGTCCTTAAGTGGTGTGTATTGAGATTGTCAATCTATTTGGAAGAACTGGTTTCTGATTGACAATGTTGTGGATCCTAAGTGTACATGAGTAGGTTAATTTATAAAAAAAAATGTGGTATTTTTGCACCATGAAATCCTATTACTTGCACCAAAATGGCTGGAACCAGAATATACCATGTTAGTTGATAAGGCATGTACAAAAGGACTTTTGCTGCATGTTCTACAAAACTTATGAGAGTTAAATAAGAACACAGGATGCTGATTACTAGAGCCCACAATAAACAGAAAGAATATGGGGAGTTTGGATTAAAAAGCAGGGAAATTTGAATTTGGTTTGGTTTATGAATTGTGACCACATACTAATATCAGGTGGATGTGAGTAATATGGGAAGTGTATGTACGAGTCTACATTTTTTTTGTTTTTAAATTTAAAAGCAATATGAAATAACAAAATTTTCCAAAAACCAACAAAAAAGGCTAAAAGGAGAATTTTAAATATGCAAAAGAGATTCAGTAATATAGTAGTGAAAGTCTATTTGCTGGATTCTTTTAATTTTAAGCTTCTGACATTTCTCATTTTCTCTGTCTCTCTACTCTGAATCCTCAATTTAGGGTCTTAATAAACAACCTGTCAGGCTTCCATTTGTTTTAATATGTTATCAGTTAGTGACAATATTTTTGATCTTTAAAGTACCCTCAAATTAGACAATCATATCCTCAAGGATGTTCTCCTAACCTTTGCACCTGATGTCACTGCATTTGAATTATGTTGAGAAATATTTTTCACTTTCTACATGTTAATGGATGGAGTACAAAAATCCAACTATCTCCATGCAACTTGGTAAAATATCTTATATATTTCAAAAGTATTCCCCTAGATTTTTCTAGATTCTATGATACATGGTCCATTTATCTTTGTACTTTGTCAGCTTTGATTCATCTCCAGCTTCTTTTGGGATCTTTTGTCTGTAGTTTTGTGCAGTTGAAATTAACTAAATCTAGGTATTGATTTCTATTTACTTTTAGCTCTTAATCACATTAATGTTTTATTGATGTCTTTAATAAGTTTTGGAAACTTCTTAGATATTTATGTATTGTCCTTACACCATTCAATGCAATCCCCCAGGATTTTCTATCTTACAAAACACAGTAGAAATAATTTAAAAATTTTACTTTTTGATAGGTTTTTGAATTCCACTTGACTCCTGAAGATATGAGAGTCCTAGATGGTCTGAACAGAAATATTCGATATGTTTCTGCGAGTTTGTAAGTGCCTTTGGCTTATATCTTGCCACAACTTATTTTTTGAGCAAGAATGTAGAATGAGTGTTGGAAGTTACCTCAACATCAGAAAGCTAGAGTTGAACAAGGAGCCTGGCGTGAGACAGGAACTTTCTGGAATTGTCTTCTCAGTTTCTCAGTAGAGCTCCAGTTACTGACACAGGAACTGGTTGAGAGAGTCCATGTCAGTATGGACTTTCATACATCCCCCACTGTGCTTCTCATTCCGTGGCACTTTTCAGATCAGGAAATACCATTGTTGAATCAACATCTCCATAAAGACCTCTGTAATCTAGTGTGATTTGGTAGGCATACACTATGGATATTATCCATGAGGCTTCTTCAGTGTTTTCAGAATCCAGTTAATATCACCTTCCAGGAACCTGACGAATTCTTTCACAGATTGAAGGCATTTACATTACCACTATATTCCATGCCTAAAATTCCCATCATCTTCCTATGGAATCATTGATTGTATCCCATCCATTTAATGTTTTGAATATTACCCTATTTCTCCCTTCAGTTTCATTGTATATTCAATCAAGACCCCCAATCACAATTGCCTGCAGAAAGGTTGGTCTTGATTTGGTCAATGGAGCCCTTAGTTTTTATTCTGTGAAATACAGATATGTTAAATTAGTAGATAAGTTATGGGGAAGATTTGAAAATGAATGGAAGAGTACATAAGCAAAAGAACCATAAATGGAAAGATTTTGTAGTCAAAAAATTTTTACTTACTCTTCAAGATTGAACGTGATAGAATATGAGGAAGGGAATATTTCGTTATTGACGGTTAGCTCTAATATGTATTCTTTCTGTCTGTGGTAATTTTGATTTATAATAGAAAAAAGGGATGATTTATGAAATGACATTAGCGTAGTATAAAATCGATTGTACTGAAAATTTGTGGATATTTGGTTATCAAGGCCGGAAGTCTCACTAGTATAAAGAAAAATTGAGAATAATAGAGACATAACATAAACAAAGAGAGATAACCATTGGTAATACTACTACCTCTTTAACTGGTAGTATTTATTGGTCATATTTCTTACTCTACATATGTTGTTGCTATCAAATATGTACATATCAAAAACA